CTCTTGAAGAATCCTGGGAACGATAGTTGACTTCTCGCAGAGCTACAATTTCTAGCAACCTTAACAAACTGGTTCCCAGGATTCTTAATAATAATAATAATAATAATTTATTATTTATACCCCACCCATCTGGCTGGGTTTCCCCCAGCCACTCTGAGCAGCATCCAACCGAATATTAAGGGAGCCACATGCTTTAAATGCATAGTATGCATGCAGCCATGGCTACTCTTTCCTGCCCCTGTTTCGTCTCTACAATATATATATTGTGAAGTAGAACATGGAGAACTGCACAGAGCACCCTGAATGTTGTTGGGCTGAAGATGCATGGACATCTATCACTAAATTATTGCCAGCTCTGGATTTGCTCCCCACCCCCCACCCCGCTCCATAGCCCCGTGTCAGGCTTTGGGGGAAACAGCTCCCTCCCACAGGGCAGCCCAGAATCAGAGAAAAGGTAAGAGTTCTTACCAAGTCATTTGTTCACAAAGAACAACAAAAGAATGCAGCCTTCCTAAAAGTGGCATTGCTCCAACTGAGCTCCTCCCCTCTCCCTTCCTAGCAACAGCACTTTCCCTTACAGTGGCCACCAGGGGCTAATTGTCTCTGAGTCTTTTGCTCTTCCACTTTCAATGCACGTCGGGTTCTGGGAGAAGAGGGGTCAGGAATGCTCTCCAGTGTCAGCTGGTTGTTCGGTCTCTGTCTCCCCCTTCTCTTCTCCCAACACCTCCCAGCGCCTCTGTTCACCTGTCTCTGAGCTGTGACCTTCCTCAAACCACTGCTGTAATTCAATACTGCCTTCCTCTTCTCTGGGAAGGTCAGGAGGGGTGGCGGTCTCGACTATTCCTCCTCAGTCTCATCCCTCTCAGTCGACTCCCTGACACCCCAGAACTCAGTAATCGCCAGTGAGATGTTGCAGTCTTTCTTGAGTGCTTTCAGCTGATTTAGGCCCCAACTGCAACGTGAAGAATTAGAGCTCCACCCCACCCCCACTTGCAATGTGCTTCTAAATACACACATCTGCTATCCTACTGCCCAGTCACCTAGCCATCAGAAATGTGTCACCAATGCCATTTAGCCCCTGTTCTCCAAGAGTTTGTGCATCTGCTGCCTTGGGCAGGTCTCCAGTTTGCACCCTTAACCTCTTAGCTGATTGCTCCCTTTGAGCATAGTCTGTGTCTCAACCTGTGGTTCTCACAGATCTGCCAAGCACTGAACTCTAAAGGAGTAATTGCAAAGACAGCCCTTGAAGGGCTATTCCCCAAAGGGAAGAAACCAAAACCTCTTAATAATTTAAAATCATAATAAAGCTACACTCATGCCTTTAACCCCCTCACTTCAAAGAGAGTCTTCGGTCGGCGGCAGTGACAGAGAAAGCTTGCCATGGAAAGTGTGTGATACATGGATGTAAAATGCTTTTTTTAATTTAACAGGCAAGGTGCTGATGGTTGGGGAAGTCATATATAGGAATATGAGGAAGCACACTAGATATTGGGGCTGGGTGGACAGGATGCCACTCAGAAAGAGGACAGGCTGGCTCAAGTCAGACGGCAAGCTTCTGAAAATATCTGGTGACACAAAGAGGGAACTCCACATTCTGAACTGGCACAGCTGCACTTCTATCCTCTTAACACTGAACTGAGCCACCCAATTTCTAAGATCTAAAATAGCTCAGAGCTCAGTGGCAGAGTATGTGCTTTGTAAACAAAGAAGGGGCTGAGGTTCAGCCTCCAGGTTTCGGAACTCAGGTAGCAGAGCCAGAAAAGACATCTGCCTGGAAGTAACTCTCCAAAGTCTCACTATCAGTGCAGAGCTAGATAAATTGGGGGTGGATGGATGGACCTCAGCCTGGAGGCTTAATGCCTAGCCCCGCTGCATAGACCTCCCCATGCTCACTACAAGCCACACCCCTCACCCTCAAGTGCTTTTGCCTGGCTGAAATTGGTCCTTAAACTGGATGGAAGGTGTTGTGTATGTGAGTAAGCCTCTGATTTGTGTGGGGCTTCAATGGAGTATCATGTATCAAAAGTAAGAGTCACTCTACCCACTATGGTGCACCACTAACATGCCCCCCCCCCCCAAGTTTCCCCATGAGAGAGTGTGGCCTTCACCACATCCAAGATAAAAAAATGGTATCACATATCAGATCCACAACTTCACTGAAGCCCCAAAGAGGTAGAATCATAGATTTGGAAGGCACCATGAGGTGTTTATAATGTCTTATTTAAAACTGAAATTTTTACTTTTTCTGCCTGACAGAGGCACAAAACCCTGGAATCAACATCAGAATTAAAAAGCAACAGGAATCCACATCATTAAAACCATGTACAGTGGTACCTCGGGTTACAGACGCTTCAGGTTACAGACTCCACTAACCCAGAAATAGTACCTCGGGTTAAGAACTTTGCTTCATGATGAGAACAGAAATCACACAGCAGCAGTGCAGCAGCAGTGGGAGGCCCCATTAGCTAAAGTGGTACCTCAGGTTAAGAACAGTTTCAGA